AGGCCACAGCTAGCCTGTCCGAGGCCACGCAGCCTTGGCATGGCCTGGGCTGCCACGTACGGTGCTAGCAGCCGAGGCCAGCCTCTTCTTTTCTAGGCTTCCGAAGGCGACGGCCCCCCTCAGACGCTTCTCGGCGCCTCGCAGAGTGCAACCTTATTGGCATTGGCATCTCCACCTTTGTGGGCTTTAGCACAGGCCACAGTTAGCCTGTCCGAGGCCACGCCTAAGGCTAGAACACCCATCTTCTTTCCGCAGACGGGCAACCACCGGAACGACACTAACGCCTTCAGTTACACATGCTACACTCCTCTTGAAAAGGGGTCGGCGGCACCCGGGCGAAGCCCTTACAATATAGCCTATAGCTATGAATCCAAATTGGTGACTTTGAGTGTGCTCTCCGTGACTGGGTAGTGGTTGATAAGGTGGATTCTTCCAAGTGTTGAGGTGTTGGGGTTCTTCTAGAGAAACGGTTGAACTGACCAGTTTGTCACTGATCAGAAAGAAGTGGGGGTTATGATTTAGAAAGAAGCACATTATAATGATTTGTGGATATTTGTGGGTCTTCTCGAAAAGTCGATCTCATAATGTCTTGTAAATTGCAGATGGAGTTTGATGAACCTGAAAACAACAAGTGAACCAACACAAGCCCTGCAAGACCGTCTTGAATTTTGCTAATATCCCCGGATGATGACATTAAATCCACCACATCCAGCAGTCCAGCACTGAGGAAGATTGAGGGTCACATGTCGTCGTACGCACATCCCTTAACCCACGCATCCACTACATCATACATGACCCACGAGGCCACAAGTGCGTGAAGGGTTTTAAGATACATGTTCATCACCCTTTGGACCCACTAGCGCCAAAGATGGGAACAGGTCGCCAAAGAGCACCGGTATCCTACTGAAGTTGGGAAGTCCATATCTTCCAAAACCATATGTAGGTTCCATTAGGTTCCTATGTCAGAAGACCAGTCCCCTCCAGCCATGGCAAGAATCCTAGTATCCCAACAAACTGGGTGGGGAGTCCACTTGGAATTCACTGGAATCTCGCTCAAAGCCTTACTCGCAAACTAATACAGTTAGCGCAGAAGTTCATTAGAGACCACTTGCAAAGACAGACCTTAGTTTACAGATTTTATTAGAGACCACCGGAATCCACCAAAGATCTTTACACTTGCTATGTTTCTTAGAGACCACCGGCTAGACCCCTTAGAAACCACCAAACGCGACGCAAACCTGAAGTCTTGGAAAACCCCCCTGCGACGCGAAGTCGAAGCCGGTCGAAGCCGGTCGAAGCCGGTCCGGATTCGGGCACGAGAGCTCGTTGGACTCGCACACACATCCCGTGTCCGTCTCGCAGGTTTCGTTGCCTTGAGTGAAGAGGGGGAGGGGCTGCAGGAAGGGGTTGCAGGTTTCGCATGTTTGGGTGCAAAAAGCTGACAATCTTTCGCTGCAGCAAACCATCTGAGGAATGAATTCGATGGCTTGGTCACCCACAGACCGGACATGCGATGGTTTGCCTTTGGTTTTGACATGTTTGTCATCACCCGCATCCCGGAATTGGATGGCAACCAGCAGCCCAGCCATGTTCAGCCGCCTAGCACACAGCACACAGCAAAGAGATGCAAAAGAGTATTATCAGATCATTTATATAGCTCTTTCCGGCTTCCATAGGGAGAAGCGCACACTTTCTAAAACCAAATCAGCACCCGTGTCCCATGTCATTTGGGCTGATGGATACTGATGGTCAGATGCATCTCCTTCGTATTGGCCCTCAACGTCCATACACCTTTGAGGTTGCATATGCTTGCTGCTTGTTGGTACCATAAAGTTTCAAGCACGGTCATCCTCAAGTTAGGTCAACCATATGGATAAACACTCAACTGTGAGAACCCCAGTAGACGATCATTACCGGTTGCTCACTCTCTGGTTGTTTTGGTCAACAAACCTCCGGTGTTGCTTGAGAGGGGTTCAATATGATCCGAATCTTGAGCCAAATCCATCAAAAAAAAACAAATACTTCTTACACCAAGTGGCCAGACCAATGCCAGCAATAACCCTTGTCGCCGCAATCCACTGGGCCTCGATCAAATCGAGGGTTCCGGATTTCGGTGCTCAACGGCCCTGCCCAACGTGCCACGAAAACAGGTGCTCCACGTGGTTTGCTTGGAAAACAGGTTGTCCCCCCTATGGATCGATCCTCAGAGCACCCAACAATCCTTTTCAAGTCCGACTTTATTCCAACATGACCAATGAAAGTAGGTCTGTTCCACTGGTTCTTTGGTCCAATTGGAGTGAATACAAACACCTGAAAACGCTATTGGTCATAGCTTTCTTGAGTCTACAAGAGACCGTCATAGGTTCTTAAGCGCACATCCCAGATTACGCAGAATAGAGGGACCAGGGCTAGCAAATAGAGATTACATGCAACAAATATCCACACGTTTGGGAGAAGTAACGCTACGCAACAATATGTTGCGTGTATCCTATTCCCGGTAACAGTGGACGATGATGGTTAGTAGAGGCCTTGTTCTAAATTAGTTATATAATTGTCTACTGACTGTTGCAGATAATAGGACACCCCCCAAACAATATGAGTATGATAATGTATCATAATATTCAATCAATCATCAGGTGTCATCCCAGCTGACATTATTTCATGTTTGTGGGTGGTTTCCGATCCTAGTGTCGTTCCTCTCTTGGTTTTGGTTGATCCGAATCTGAAAACATCAGCAACACATACGGTGCCATTCGGTGCCATTGGACCGGCTCAGACTCGCTCCGTCCGTCCTATGCCCCCCAAAAACACCACAGTGTTTGATGCAAACTGGAGTCTCAGAGTACTTCACCAAATTGGGTAGAGTCGCAGCTGTTCTATTTCGGGTCATGTCACTCATGTCCCGTTTTCGGGGCGTACTTCAAGTCGGGCCCAGGTCCTTTCATTCAAGAGGCAACTCTCGGAGATTGGGACGCAGTACTTGTAGGTTCCGCTGGTACAGCTTCGTTCCCACTGTGAGTTGCAGGGGCAGCCTGTCGCATAGCCACAGTGAAA